GACTTATTGTGCATTGTTGAGTTTTTCTCTCTCAGGGAACTGTTCAAAACTCAGACAGCTGTCTTGGAACTCTAGAGTTTCCTTGGTACAGAACTAGGTCCCCAGCTTGAAGAAATAGCAGCATCTTCACATGCTCCCTCTTGTAGACTGTCCCATAGTATTTGAAAGTTCCTTGGTACTGGTTTTAAGACTTAGCAATCAGCAACTCATATGCACAGCCTATAATGCACTAGTTAAGCTGAGGAACATCCATTTGACTCCACTCCCTGTGGTCCCTGACATCATTCCCAGAGATAGAGCCTTTGCAGGATACATGTGTTGCCAGCTCTTTTCTTTCTTTTGTGTCATAGTCATTTGTCATTAGCCATAATCATTTTAGGTTAGCCAAGTAGTGAAGCTAAAGCTAATGACTCATTGACTACTCATTTCACAGGTAGAAATCCGAATGACAGAGTAGGGTATAGGCAGTAGAGGGTGGTAATATATTTTGTGCTCATGAACCAGCCATGAAGAATCCATATTGGAACAGTGAAGCAAGGAGGACCACATGTTTTCAACAGTATCCTCCTAACATGATGATAGTCAGTGGGTCTTCAACAGCTCTTTACTGAGACTAATTTTGGATGAGTACCTCATGGTCATTCAAAGAAGTTTGTACCCTGTTCTAGCGGTAGCCATTATGTTCTTACTCCAGATGATAACTTATTGGCACCCAGGTCCAGGCTTTGACTGTAGGGTGCAGTATGGATTTAGGTGGGTGTATCTAGGTTTCTGAGTACTCTGGTTATATGCAGAATATCAGCTCTTTGTGTAAAAATACCAACTCGGTCTCACCTGCTAGTGTAGGTGGGGTCCTGTTCTCTGTGTCTAACCTACCTTCTTTCTCACAGCTGCTCAACCCCAGAACACAACCAGGCCAGGTGAGTTGCAGCATCTTCATATGGAAGATCTTTGTTCTTGGGAATCCCATTTTGGGGGTGCATGCTCTTCTCTTGCTACTTTAGTATTCAGGAGGCACTATCTTATCCCCCACCCAAGTTTGCACCAAATATTTGGGTAGAGTAGTGGTTGAGACACTTGTAACTGAAATAAAAAGCCATCCATGCACAAGGGGCTTTTGCCCTTTTATATTCATGATCTGTTTGCAAATTGATGTGGACATTCTTTGGCCTTCTGAAAGCATCAGCATTATCCAAGTCATTCTCTTCTATTTATACAAAACCTGTATTGCTGTATGTCACCTCCCCACCAACACATATGTACTACATGGTCACCTGTCCACCAACCTGTATGTACTACATGGTCACCTGCCCATCTACTTCCATGTGCTACATGGTCACCTCCCCACCAACACAAATGTGCTGCAGGGTCACCTCCCCATGCCATATGAGATGGATGGAGAGGCAAGGAATGTTTTGTGATTCTAGCACTGACAGGAAAGTTAATTCTTCTATGTCCTACACTCTGTTGCCTTTGGCCCTTTGTCTGTTTCTCCACTGTTTAATATAAATTTGGGACATGATGTCGCATGTACCTGTCCCATACTGAATCCCCAAATGGGCAAACAGAGCTTCTTAGAGAAAAGAATGTCTCAGTTAGAGAGAGAGGTGGCAGAACACTCTGACGTCCTTTGGGCTTTGTTCTTTAGATGAGTATATGGGTTGGACCCCTGTACATAAGTCACCAGTGCAGTCCTTGAATGGATTCCACATCTTTTTGTGTCCATTTGTTTCCTAATCATACTTTTTATTATAATTTTCAGACATGTGGCCTACTACTACCCCAGAAACTATACCAGGTAATGAGTCTTCTTACCATGGTTTGGCTCCCTGTACATCGCAGGTTGAAACCTTGACTGGCTAATAAGAGATTAAGATGAAGAAGTTGCCTGCCTTGCTTACAATCCTTTGTGTTTGGTCATATAGAAAGGAGTTTCACAAGTTGCTGATAGGTTGTTGGTAGAGACCCCTATTCTGCTCACAGCCACACCAACAGTGATAGAGTGGGTAGGACTCTTTCATATTCAGTCTTCCCCAGAACCTTCAGCACTCTCCATAAAGTACAAAGGCAGCATCTGTTGAGCCCACACCACCTTCTGCTTGTCTCAGTAGAATCACAGACTTGTAGCACTTAATCAGTTTTGCCAAACTTTGCTTTCCTGTGAACTCATTTGCTATGGAGGCCCTTTCCTATGACATTTGTCTGGAAAGCATCATCTTTTGCAAGAGTCATGTGACATTGGACAGCAGAGATTGTTTCTGTCATGCTACTAAAGTATAGATGTCATGATTCTTTTACCAAGCAACTGTCATTCAGGACAATGCTATCATTGTCCTAGGATCCAAGGTCACCTCACTGGTACTATGATGGACATATGAGAGCATGGTCAGTGCCACTACGTGCCCTCTAGAAAAAACTCTCTGTTTCTCAGGCACAGTACTTCTGTGTCCAATGTTTCCATCTTGCTAGCACAGGTATCTTGACTTTGATGCACAGGCCTTCCTTCTAATCTAGCTTTGTTTTCTCTCCATATTTGTTGACTACAATTCCTTACTATGGTAAGTTTGTGATAATAACAAAGCATAGTTTTCAGCATTTCAACCAAGAGGTTGAAGAAAGGCAGGAATTCTGGAATCTTCTTGAAGTCTGTGCTGGAGCTCAGCTCAGAAAAACAAGGAGAAAGGATGGAATTAGAAAGAGGGCCTATCTTTCCTGTGTATGTCCACAGTGATCCACTCTGTCCACAAAAAATTTATCTTTACTCCATCTCAGAACTAATGAACAGATTTGGTCTGAGCCCTGAGAATCCAATCATGGGGTTAGACTCATGACCAGGACTACAGACCTCCAGTATGAGCCCTTGGTGGACACTTCCTGTTCCATTCAGTATTCTGTTGACCCCAGAACCTTCAGCATTACCCATGAAGGTAGATCCTGTTGAGCCAACCTCACCCTCTGCTTGTCTCAGTGGAATATGAGACTTTGCAGCAGTTAATACATTTTATTAAAAACTACTTTCCTGAAAAAAAAAATCACTTGCTATGGAGGCCCTTTCCTAAGTAATTTGCCTAGAAACAATTGTATTTTGCAAGGCATTTGTCAGCAGAGACTGTTCCTGTCAGGTTCCTAAGGTACAGATGGCATGATTCTTTTCCCAAGCAACTGTCATTCAGGACAAAGTTATAGTTGACCTGGGTCCTAGGACCAGATCCTTGTCATTATGATGGTCACATGAGAGCATGGTCAAGGCCACCATTTGCTCTAAAAAATGGGGTGGTGGTGGTTATTGTTCTCAGTAATAGTGCTTTTGTGCCCAATATTTTTGCATCTGAAGCATGGGCTTGACAGAACCTTGATGCACAGACCTTTCTAATCCAGCTTTGTTTTCCTCTCCAGACTGGTGGACAACTCCAATTTATGGTAAGTCTGGGATGAGGCCAAAGCGTAGCTTTCAGCATTTTAATCAAGAGGTTAGGGAGAGACAGGAATTCTGGGATCGTCTTGAAATCTGAGCTGGAGCACAGGTGAGAAAGACAAAAAGAAAGAAATCAATTAGAAAGAGGACCCATGTTTCCTGTGTACATTCCTAGTGATCTACTCTGTCCACAAAATTTATTTCCTGTAAAATTAATTATGTTAATATAAATATAATTAGTAGGTTAATCTGGTAGATGTATTTCTTTACCCTTCCTAGTCCCTAATAACCACACAGAGAAACCAAGTTTTATTTCAAGTTGCACCTCCATAGCTGGGTAATAAATGATTCTTTTCCCAAGCAACTGTCGTTTAGGACAAAGTTTCAGTGTCCCCAGGGTCAGGGCCACATCATTGTTAATATGAAGTACACATGAGAGCTCGGTCAGGGCCACCACTTGCTCTCAAAAAAGGGACTTCATTATTCTCAGCCACAGTGCTTCCATGTCCAACGTTTTACACTTCCAACCATGGGTGCCTTGACAGAACCTCGATGCACAGACCTTTCTCTAATCTATCTTTGTTTTCCTCTGCAGATTGGTGGACAACTCCTTCTCATGGTAAGTCCCAGAACAGATCCAACTTCTCTTTCGGCACTTCAACTAAGGGTTGGAGAGAAATGAGAGTTCTAGGATTTTTTTTTTTTTTTGTAATCTGTGCTGAAGCTCAGCTCACAAAGACAAGGAGAAGCAAAAGAATTAGAAAGAGGGCCTATCTGTCCTGTGTACATCTTCAGTGATCCACTCGGTCCAAACAATTACATCGCCTATTTACTCAATCAGAGATTTAATGAGTAGGTTTGGAAAGAGCTCTGAGGATGCACTTATGGGGTTAGGATCCCAAGTCTTCAATATGAACCTTTAGTGGACACTGCCTATCCCATTCAGAACACCATGGACTACCAGAAGACATAAGCTTTGGATGCTCTGAGTCAGAACAGCAGAACAATGCTTCTTGTAGATTTTCTGTTCCCCAGAGAGAGTGACACTCTTATCAGCAAAGACACGCACATTTGACATAACCCTTTATACCCAAATACTTTGTGTCCAGGTAGCAGAAACTCTACACCACGCATCTAAGAGATTGGTACCTACAATCATCTGCCAGCCAGGGAATCAAAGAAATTCAAGGAAATGTTTTCACCATGAGCACAGGGGACAGAAGACTTTGGCCTTGATAGAACTTTCCATTTTTCATCCACACATACACTGAACAACTTGCACCTAATCCCACAAAGAAAAGACACAAAGAAAAGAAGGGTTCCTATATGTCCTCAGAATGTGACCAGGGCTAGGTTATCTCCTGTCTGGTTTCTCCCTTGGAATTTTGGTCAAAGCTGACTGGTCCCCCTGCTAGAAACCTGTGCAGTGTGATCCAGGGTTCATCAGCATGTCCACCCTTTTCTGCTTGCAGAGTACACCTGTGGAGGTTTTCTGACCCTGCCCTCTGGGCAATTTTCCAGCCCATACTACCCCTCAAGCTATCCTAACAATGCCAGATGTTTGTGGAAAATTTTGGTCCCTAGCATGAATCGAGTGACAGTGGTCTTCACAGATGTGCAGTAAGTATGTGTGTACAGAGCAGCTGTTACAGAGAATTGTGGGGGAGGGTGCATTGAAATTCATGGGTGAATATTCAAGTCGGCATTTATAATACAGGTTCCATTTTTGATGTGGAACAAGAGTTGCCCAGGGAGGATGTAAATGGTGCAAAAGCACAGGAATTTGAAAACACCCTGTCTAAAAGACCCAGGTTGTCATGAATTTGCACTATGGCCATGGGGTGCCATGTTCCTAATCCTCCACCAGAAGAAGGGGCTGGAACTACTCTTCTCCTGACTTTGTCGATTAGCAAGTGACCAGGCAATGGAAACATACTTGGAGCCCTTACTCAGTGGGAGGGAAGGGTGGTAGCCTAGGTAGTGACAGTTTTGGGTGCACAGTAAGACAGTGCTGTTCATGAGGGTACCTATTCAGTGCAAAGCTTTCCCCACAGCTCTTTCTTCTTCCATGATGCACCTGGAGCGGGTGCCAGTGCATTTCCTCTGAAGTGAGTAGGGTCCCAGCACTTACTAACTAAGCTGTGTTCCCAGGACCTCTCTTGGTATCTGGAGTGGGTTTGCAAGTCTCTGCTGTAGAACTACCCATACATTGTATCAGTGTCCTTGTTAGGACAATTCAAGAATGCCTGAAGGACCTGAAGAACACAAGGTCCTATGCTCAGTCTGGTTTTTGTCAACACCTCACTGACAGCTATTAGCACACAGTAACATCTTATGAAGCTACCTCCCTCTCAAACCTTCCCCCCCTTACCCCCCCACCCCCGGTAATACAGTATTTTGTCATGGGTCCATCTCAGTGTTTCTCAGTGGACATGGAATGCAGTGTTGACCTTAGTAGATGAGAAACCCAAGGGTCAGAGAGTTCCAGTGACTTGTACTGTGGTAGGTTTTTGCTTGTTTGTTTTGTTTTGTTAGGTTTTTATTTAATGTGTGTGAGTGTTTTGTGTGTATATGTATATCTGTGAACTGCATGTGTGCCTGGTCCCCACAGAGTCAGAAGAAAGTGTCTAATTCCCTGTGTATGGAGGTTAAACACAGTTGTGAGCTTACTTATAGATGCTGGGAACTGAACCTTGGTGCTCTAAAACAGCAGACAGTGT